TGACCTCCAGGGCATATTAGAGAGGGAGGCAGGCACTTGCATAGTAAATACCAATACCATGCCATAAGTGTGTCAAATCATTGCTAGATTAAGATATAAAGGGAGGAAAAAGTAAACAATCAGGTCTTCCTAAAAGGGAAAGTGATTCACAGAATTGACAGTGGAGACAGTATTTAAGCTCTACTTTTTCTTTTTTAACCATATGATTTTACCAAGTGGAAACAGTGAGAAGGCAGTTTTCTAAGAAAGACAGAGAGATACAAGTAAAATCATACTTCATAAATCATGAGTCCCCTACATAATTTGAAAAACAGGAGTTAGGGGACTAGTGAGAGGTAAAAGATGACACTAGAACAAAGACAGAGAAGAGGTTGTGAAGGAATTTATTGCCAAGCAGTGTAGATTTTAATTCTGCAGCAAACAAAACATCAGCAAAACAAGTTTTTAAAGGTGGGGATGAAATATTAGCCCTTTATAGTTATTGACTGTTTACCTATTTCCGTTCCCCTTTTTACTATATATTCCATGAGAGCAAGGATCTTGTATTGATTGACTGTGTTTCTTAAGAAACCAGAAGAGTACTTGATATATAGTAGACATTAAAAAAAATTTGGATTATTGTTTGAAACAGTGATTATATCACTGTTAACAAGTACAACCAGTAAATGATTATTGTAATAAGTGAATCAAGAGAAAATAAAGGCAGGATATGGGCAGTGATAATAGATTTTATATAGAATCAACAAAACTTCATAACTTATGGACTAACAGGAGTTTGATAAAGTGAGAAGTTCAATATTACAATTTGATTTCAAGCCTGAGTAACTAAGTTGATGGTGATGTTTTAACCTCTACAGGAAAGAGGGGGGAAAGCAAGTTCAGGGGAAATGTTAAAAGATTTGATTTGAACACCCTTAAAGTTAAGATTCATTTGGGAGATGATCTGATAATCACCAGGCAAAATCTGAGAGAAAAATAATTCCCCAATTCTAGTACTTATCTGGTGAATAAAAATGTTTAATATATTATAACTTTGTTCAAATTTATGTCATCCATATCTTTTGAATGCCTTAGAGGGATAAAAAATAGTATTTGTTATCAAATCCATTTGAGATCATTATAATTCACTATCTCTTACAGCAGAAACAGGGGAGGTAGAAATAGATTAATTAACTGTCTCCAAAGTCCTGAATTGCAACTGGGGAGGGGGCAAATACAGGCAATGTAACTGTCAATCCAAGTTATCACCACAAATTTTATTACATGGTAGATAACATATAGACATGATATAAGGTTAAATAAACTAAAATTGATTTAAATTATAACAGAGTTTGGAGAACATTGAGATTTGTTTAGATTTTGATATTACCTACATCATATTAGAAATGGCCAAGCTGATATAAAATTCTACATCCAGGATAAACTCATTGCTTATATGAAAATGTTAAATCTCTGTAATCCCCTTCTTTTACATGTCTTCTTGAGGCAAACAAATAAACAAACAAAAACACTATTTCACTTGCAAAATGGTTTCCCTAGAACATTTAAAGAATGCCTTTCTTTTGTTTTCATTAACAACAGCACAAGAAAAATATTACTCTTATCACAATCTGGTTTCTCAACACCGCCCATATCAAAATTATCTTAAGTATTAGGAAACTGCAAATTTGAAAAAAAAAAAAATCATTAGTCAATAGTACATTAAAGCCCCAGTTAGAGAAAGTAATTTTCCTCTATAACAGAAAAAGATGATCTGAGATTTTGTGATTCATTGTGATCAGGATGTAAATAAGTGATTTTTTATAGGGTTTTAATTCCAATGCAATTTAACACACCCATAACCATTTCTGGACTAATTTTTGAAGGAAAATGAAAAAAATTCACTTTTTATGTGACTTAGAGACATGTTTTTGAAAATCTCTTAAAGCAATCCATTGAGACTTCTAAGAAAAAGGTCTAGAGATGTTGAGACTTGACTCACATTCCAGAATCCTGGAGTTTGTCCATTGTATTCAGTACAATGCAAATACTAAGTTAATTCTACAACATGAGGCACTTGGGGAACTGGCTAAAATTGTTTAAAAAAAAGTGAGAAAGGGTGAAATATTTTGAAACTATAAAAAGAGAATCACCTCCAAATATATTTCCAAAGAGCAATAATGTATTCTATAATTTTTACATATTTAAAAATAAAACAAAGCATTGTTACCAGTAGGATTCTCTCACCTAGCCACATATTTGAATACCATCCTTTCATAATTTCCGTTATACTTATCTATTTTGTTGATTATAAAATATAATCATAGACTATAAAGTTGCTTGAATCTTCACAGTGTAACTAACCCTCATATAGAAAATCACTAGGAAACAAATTACAGGTTAGATGCCAGCAGTATTCTAATAAAACAACTCCTTAGTTTAATAATAGCAGCTCTAAATTGATGTTACTGCACAAAATACAAAAGATGCAGAGCTCAGGTGTGAAGTTTCTAATTTACAAGAAACCGGGGGAGTCTTCATTTGACTCTTTATTACCTTTAATGAAAAGATGAAACATCACTGATGAATTTTAAGATTTCATAACAAATTTCAAAGTACTTGGTATTCACATAGATTAGAATCTTGCTGAAATACTTCAGTGTTACTCTCTAAGGAATTATGAAGTTGTTGAGAAAAGTCAACTTGTCACTATAAAGCGCCTAATCTGGTCAGCTTGAGCAGAGTAGCTTTGAGAGGGAGGTAGCTTTGAGAAACCTAGTAATGGGGAGAGACATAGCATCTATGGGAAAATAAGAGATAAAAACAAACTAATATAGAACCAGGCACATTCCATAGTCCAGGCAATAGATGTGATGAGAATGCCACTAGAGGAAATAGTACCATGAGAGACTTTCAAGGAAGAGGTGTAATGTATACATTCTGGGGAGCTGTGAGGGGAGATTAGGGAGAAGCAAATCAGGAAATAATCCTGGCAGGGGAATACCAAAAGGGAAAGGAGAGGACAGAGGACTGAACCAGTACAGACGATAGTAACTGCAAATGGAGCAGGAGATGATAGGGCTAGTTAGGAGAGATGAGGTCCAGCAAAGGATAAGCCTTACAGCTTTGATCTATAAATTATGTCTGAGAGGTACCTATGGCATAAAAGTTAAGAGCTTAAACTCTGAGGCAGACTACCTGACACTATCACTTACTAGCTCTTTGACTCTGAGCAAGTACTTGAATTTTCTATCTCAATTTCCTTATCTGTGTAATAGGGCTAATAATAATTTGTATTAATACAAGTGAAGTACTTACAAGCTCTTTTTATTGTATCAAAACTGACATTCTTAGGGAGAGGAGTGAATACACACACACACACACACACACACACACACACACACACACACACATTTTTTTTTAACTAAATAGGTTTCTCTGGGAGCATGGTCAAGGTAGATTGAAAAGGTTAACTCTGGGTAAGCAAACTCAGCAGTCACTGTAGCAACCTGGCATTTCCCCTTAATATCCATGATCCATTACAACTGAAACTGGAATACTGGTCTCAGAATTTTCATATATAAGTATAAAAAATGATCTTTTATTTTCTGTACCTTGCTAACCAAGTGTTTGCATCCAGCTCCTGTTTCCAAGCTTAAAACCTGGATCTTCTACAATAGTGCTGACAGTTCATTTGACCTCAGTATTTTCTGATAAAGTTCTATATCTATGTTTGGGTGAAATTAATGACTTTGAGGAATATTATGGAAATCCACAAAAATGGAAAATTTCTTTGGATTCCAATACTATGCATGATAAATTGGGAGCTTTATTACTACATTTAACCTTTAGCACATCTTTCTTTAAAATATAGATTCAAATGTAAAATCTAGCATTTGCAGACATTGTACTAACTTGTTATAGTCACCCTTTTTAACCCACAAGGTTTTGAGTTCATAAGAGGGACATGAATTACAATATGAGGTCTAATATTTCCACCATTGGTACACATAATTTCTTTTTAGATCTTCTTTGTGCTTATGAGGAAAAACTGTGCACAGTGCAGAATCAATTGCTAAAAATTTCAATGAGAAGCAAGAAATAATAGAAGTAAAAAAGAAGTATGTCATATATGTTTATTTCAGGTAAATTTCATTTTCTCTTCATCTGAAATTAGTTTATCTTTTAAACTTCAGCAATTTGGCAGAACAAACAGATTCTTTTCTTTGAAACAAATCTAAGTTATTTACGTCAAATATTCTACTTAAGAGAGGTATCGGGAACTGTGGCAATTGCAAATAGATATGATAGAGAAGAAATAAATGATGTTCAGTTTCTGAATTTAGCTTCTGTTACTAGACTACAAAATCAGAGTTACTTATTTTTCATGTACTGTCATCAATGCTATGTTGATCTAATCTATGTCCAATAAACACATGATCAAGAACTATTGCAAAGCCCACTAACTTGGTAGCATTCATCAATCTACTGACATTTTTCTACTTAGAAGCCCTTAAAAGCAGACTATGACTGATGGTTTATAATTTCTTAAAGAGAATTTATATATTTCTCCATTCTGCTTTGCCTTAGGAACATTTCAGAAATGCCCAGTCTAACGTAATTCAGCCTCAGTGACTGCAACCCTATAGGACAAGGTCTTCCACAAGTACTAGGGCAGCTCCCAGGGACTGCTTAAACCCTGCCTTCAGCTTGTTCATGTCTTTTAAGGAAAATCTCAGGACAAAAAGAACATAATGTAAACAAGTGATTACAGGGCTTCAGAAAAGGAAATGCTTAATTCCTTTGTAATTCATGCTCTTTTTATGAACTCAACAGAAATGATTCTATAAAAACAGGAGATGCCAATGTGTAATAGGGAGACTTTTGTAGAAGCATGTTGGAAATGAAGTTCCTATTAATAAAATACAAATAATTTAGCTGCCACAGCTGGAAATATTTAACTGCAGCACATATTTCTGTAATTGCTCTAATCCTTGTGTGTTCTTTTGCTCTTTTTGCAGGCAGACCAGTAATGATTGTGGTGGAATATATGGAGAATGGATCCCTAGACTCCTTTTTGCGGGTGAGGTATTCTTTTCTGATGGCATTTAAATAAGCTATTCTGAGTTCTAGATTTAAATCATTTATCATAAATTAATTTTTGTGTAATGTTATTCATGGATTTTTCCATGAAGAATAGCAACATTTTCTCTAGGGTGCATTTCTCTGATACTGTGTTACATTAGTGTGTTTGTTACCAATGGGAGGAGTATGTACACATAATAATAATTGATTTCTCTTATAAGTTCACATGCCATATTAATATATGTATTTCCAAATGATGTTATAAAGAGATTAAATGAAACTCAGTTGCTTCACATAAACATTCATTTTGTTTTATCACATTTAACTGTTCAGTATGATGTTTTACGCATGATCTATAATGCTGTACCCCTTAAATTAATGTATCTTTACGAATAATGACTCAAGTTCATACCAGAAAACTGGTTTTATCGCTCCTAAGTTCATTTGCCTGACTCTCAGAAAACAAAAGAAAAAAGACAAAACTCTAACAGAGATTTGTTTCAGAACAAAAAATTTTAAAGCACTCTTTTTAAAGTGACTTAAAATTATGGTGTATACGAAAATCATTTGTCTCATAAAGCAGTAGAGAATAACAGAGCTGAGAAGGCATCTTGAAGTTACATTCCAAATGTATTTATAATGTCTTTAATATTTAAGAAATCATATGCTACAAAAATACTCATTGATAGTAAAAAAAAAAACAGAATATAAAAAATAATTACTACAGCAAATATTTTTCATCTTTAGCAGGGTCACATATTTGAATGTTATTGTATTCTCAAATATTCATCTATCTACAGAAACATGGCCATTTTTCTTACCTGTAACATGCCTGGACCTTTGCTATTTGGAATATATTATGTTAATGTTTATGTTCATCTTCATAGGATAAAAATAGTCTCAGGTATTCTTTCTTCCCTTAATTTTGTTCTGTTATTTGGTTAGATTTTGCTTCTCACCTTTCTTTTTTTTATCTCATTTTCATTTTTTTCTTGAGTTCATGCTCTCTTCTTCCAATTTCTCTCAATATTAGCAGTAATGATATATTTACCCTGTGACTGAACTCGATGCCCAGATTCAATGCCAGAAGCTGAATTCAGTAAAATTGTCGAGTTATTACAGAGCAATACCCCTCACACAATGCATTCTCTCAACTGAGTATGCTTTGTAAAGCAAAATGAAATTCATAGTTGGTTGTGGACATGAGCTATTTGTTTTCTTTTTCTGTAGCCATTCTCAAGATGTTATTTTATAGCTTGTATTCATTTCTCCTATAAATGTGCTAAATTATTTTAGAATAAATTATCAGGACCACCTATGGTACTTTGAAATGCATATATAGTTAGGACCTTCCATTATGTTTATTCAAAAACTGATTCTTATCAGACATGTACCAAAATGACTTATTCTCTAATGATACTTGGAATAAGTTTTGGATTTTTTTTTTTTGATACCAGCTATATCCTAGAGTTGAATACAATGGCAAATAATACAGCACATGCTCAATTGTTCCTGAAAATGGGATCAAATGACTGCCACAGCAAATTGGGAAATAATTCTTAGCTTCATATTTCCTTTTTATCCTGCTGAATTATGTTATAAAGAAAAGATAATAGGCTATCAATAAAATATTTATGTAGAAGCATCCTCCTACCTGCTTATAAGTTATATATTTCATGTTTTAATTTTAAAATTAAATTTTTAATTTTTAATTTTAATTAAAATTTAAATTTAAATTTTTAAAATTTCGGCTTTTATGCATTATGTAGGTAAGACACCATATAGTCTGGGAAAGAATAGATGTTCAGTTGATCATGGCTATCATTACCACTGCTAAGAATCTCAATATATGTCATTTCATCTTGGTTCAGTTCCTTCTAGCTGTGTGACCTAGTGACTTGGGAAAGTTACTAACTTCTCCGTTCCTCTGCTTACTTATCTATAAAATGGGAATATTAACAACATCTACCTCATACGAGTGTCATTGAGTTGATTATTTTAAAGCTTATAAAATAAGACATGACATACTGTCAGTGGTAGAGTGAATATTCAAACTGAAGCCTCTGACTCAAAAAGCCATATTCTTAGGCACTTTTTAAATCAAATTACCTATACTTCTTTTTATAAATTCACTGCCATCGCCCCATGTGAACTTGTCTCCTGTATGCACATAGAATTTCTATTAAAATAAAAATCACATGCATGAGGAAAAAAACCCACACAGTCAAATACTCCCTTCTTACTCTTCTTTAATACTCTTACCCTTCTTTGTAATCACATCTCTTTTATCCCAGAAACTCTAAGTGGTATATGAACTTTATGTCAATAGCAGATACTCAACTCCCCATGGCAGGCAGAAATAAAATATATAAAGACATATATCCCACAAATTCTCAAAAACGAAGTCATTTTTCAAACTACTGCTTTAGAATTTGATAACCACAGCTTCTGTGAGCACAGAAAGAGGAAGTGGCTAAGTGCATTGCATTGTAGGGAAGCCATCCATGGCTCATTAATAGCATTCTGTGCTTACTTGAAGCAGAAAAGATTTCCCTTTGGTCTCCCACATATTTGAAAATCACTTCAATTTACTTTTTATATGAAAGAGTGGTAGCAAAACTAAGTACAAAATTACAATCTAGCTGGCTGGTTGTGATATTGCACTGGATTCATAAATCTTCTGCTGTTCAGGATCCTTATGGACATTCCTCTGGATACATATTAGCAAGAGGTGGTGTGGTTAAGTGCCTGTGTTTGTGTATATGCGCATGTGTGTATGTGCACACACGGATGGGATGTACAAGGGTATGTAACTATGTGTGTGTCTTCAGTTTTAAAATAAAATGCATTCTGACTTAGCAAGCAGAACATCAGCCCTGCTGTTCAGAATGCATGACTTTACTGATGTGAAAATTTTCCTAACTTTGCCAAGGAAATACACTAGTGTGAATTAAGTGTAACCTTGACCATCATCCCTATACAATCTCTCTTGAACTATACATAAGGATTTCAAAAACACATTTTGTGGCACTTAACCTGGCAACTGCTTTCCCGTAAATTTTTGGACTTACATTTTCATAACAATATTAACTAGCAATCCAAATAAAAATAGTTATAAAATACTTTAAAGTTTCGAGATAATAATATGCCAACCACAAAAATATATTCCTTTATTTTATAATATTTGTTCAATGTGGCTTTGTTGATCAAATCACAAAATTCAGTTACTCAAAAAAATAAAACCATTGGTTTCAGATTAAGATGTTATATTGTGTTCATGCTGCAGCCTCTTGCTGCCACCTCAAATCCTTTGATGTTACAGATACGTTATTTGCAAAACACAGTCACATGAGCAAGCAAGAAAGAGTGTTATCCATATAACAACAGGGGGGAAAATGTGTGTGGGAGGAGAATTACTAAAAATAAAAGCAAACAAGATCATATTTCAAAACATGGTTAAGAAAGGATGCTTAGAAGCAAAAAAGACTATGTGGAAGGTAGTGCTGCCAACTGATATGAAGATACAAAGTAGGAACAGGAAGGGCTGGTGGATGGGAGATGATAAATTTCATTTGGGTCATATTCCATTTGAGATGTCTATGGAGCATGCAGTGAAAATGTCCAGACAGAAATAAGAAATATAAATCTGAAGCTCAGAAGAAAAATCTTGACCAAAGTTAAAGATCTGGCATTCGTTAGCATAAAAGTGGCTATAAAACCTAAAGCATGATATATTTTTAGGAAGAACTTTTAGAGAAAGGCAAGGAGTTGAACAAGGTTGGAACTCTGTGCTGTGCCAATCTGAGGAGGGAGCAGGGTGGAGTCTCCAAAGGTAACTAAGAATAAGTGGTCCAAAATGAATAAGGAGGAAGATGAGGACATGGAGTCCTGCACATCAGGCAAGAGCAAATAAGCAGTTACATCCAGTGCAGCAGAGAAAGTCAGAAAAACAAAAACTGAAAAGTATCTTTGAGATTTACTACTTAAGTCCTCAGTGATCTCAATAAGATCATGTTTAATGGGTTGATCCAGGCAGAAGTCAGAATGTATAGGGCAAAATGAGAATGAAAGATAAATAGGAATTGGTAGTGGAGACCATTTTTTAGGTAAACAGTAGCTGACATAACAAGACAAGAGATAAATGTTAGTAGACAAAAAGAAAACCAAAGGGTATTTTTTAAAAGAAAGAAATTTAGAGATTTTGTACACTGGAGAATTGGAAATTAAAGAACACATATTCGTAAGGCAAAATATCTCAGGAGATGAGAAAGCACAAAATCAAGGACCCTGGTAGAGGATTGACTTTGCATAGTAGAAGCCTCCACATCTTTCAAGACTCATGGGAGGTTGTGTGTTGTGGATCCAGAGAGATTTATGAGAAGCATTAAATTGAAGGAAATGATATCTGATATTGTTGCTTTTCTGTATGAAATAGGAAAGTTTATTTGGGAGTTTGAGAACAAACCTTAATTTAAGGTAAATGTTTAAGATAATTGCTGAAGTTAAAAAGAAAAGTAGCTGATCAGATCAAAGGGGTGGGGGTTGGGAGTTGGGGAGCGGGGTGTTGTATGATAATTTCCAGGTGTGGACCTACGAATCCATGGCTAAAGCAAAAATGAAGATGAATATCTTTAATTAATGTAGATAACATTTGTGTGTGCTTTCTCTGACTCGGGCATTATTCCAATCCCATGCATTTATTAACTCACCAAGCGCTTACAACAAAATTATGAGGTAAATGTTACTATTATTCCCATTTTATCAATGAGGAAACTGAGGCAAAGCATAATAGGTAAATTGTCCAATGTGAAACAGCTGATAAATTATTCATTCTTTTTTTTTTTTTTTTTGCACAAATATGTGTTCACAGACTATAGAATCCCAGGTACTATTCTGGTGCCTCAAATATAGAAGTGAACCAAATAGAAATTAAAAATCTAGTGGAAGGGAAATAAAGAATGCAGCAAAATATATGGTATATCAGATGGGGAGAAAAAG